TGTGAGAGTAGGTGAGATGGTAGAGTGTTAAAATGCATGACAATTCGATAAGGGGACGCGTGGTTGGTACGAAGGGGATGTGGATTGGACATGGACCGGTCTCAGACTGCCACGTGCTACTGTTTAGGTTCCTGCCACCACACTTTGCATCATCTCTTAATGCGCTTTCGGGGTTGTTTGGTGATTGGTTGAGAGAATTAATTACAAGTACAAAACATCTGTAGCTATGTTGTCCATTGTGCATATACTAATACATAATGAGCGGCATAGTACAAGGCAAGATTAATTGGTTTGGCAAGCTTTATAGAAAGCATGGAACAATTTCGTCAAAGAATGTTTCACCTAGGCTGTTCTTATCTACTTTTAAACGATTGGTAGATGGAAAGTGATTTAATTTGATTAAAATGTAATATAAATTGACATTAATTTAGGATAACTTGAATTAGAAAATTTTAAATTTAATATAATTAGTTTGATTGTGATTTTATTTTTAAATTGATAAATTATATGATTACAAAGTAATAAAATTAAATAATATAAAATTTTTATTTTTTTATATTATTAGTAAATATATTTTTTAAATTTTTTGATAAAATAAAAATATAATTAACAAATTGTATATCAATTGTATTTATAATTTTTTATTGTACTTTTCTTATTTTTATAATATATTATTTTTTAATTATAATACTATAATAATAATCGTACTTACTATTATTTTCTCATTTTATTTTTGTTTTATAATTGTATAACATAAAGTAATTAACACAACAACAAAAAAAAAAAGAGTGCAGCTCGCACCGAACCCTTTGACTCAAATGGCAATAGCTACTCACAGTGCACTTTCTTTCTCTCCTGGGTTGAGTTCGACTCAGCCCTTTGTAAAATCTGTTAAAAAAAAAAAAATGTAGCTCTTTATCCCCAAAAAAACAAAATAGCGTAACATTTTTTTTTTTTTTATAAGAGAAATTATATGGTTAAGTTAGTATCTCTTCTACACTGAAAAGATTCCACCTTAAGACCAGAGGGTACATTCCACTTTGCTGCTGAGCAGCGTGGCCACATGGGCCACGTAGGGGAATGCAAATACCGTAACTTTAAATCGTCATTTATACAAAATAGAACTCTACTCTTAAAAATCTCTACCCTCTTTAGTAGCAACATGGGTTTTCATGCCTTGATTACCTTATTGGTACTATTATTTTATTATTTATGGTGTTAGTGTGCTTTATAATTATATTTTTTACGATTAATTTGATATTTAGATTTTCTTATCTAATTAAATATATTTAAAATAATATTAAAAACTGATCAATTTGACCAAATTACTTTAATCTAGTCTAAATTAAATTTTTTTTAGGGTAATCTAAATTGAATTAGTTTGATTATAATATAATAATAAATTAGATTAGTTTAAATATTTTACAAATCAATTAAATTAATTTAGTTTTTAAAATGTTAAAATCCAAACTAATTCACACCATAAACACCTCTAGTTTCACCTAGTAAGAAAGTTTGAAATTTATAACATGTTCAAACATTAAAATTAGTAAAGAAGAATTTGGGACAATAGAGAAATAACTTTGATTTCACTAATTCTATTATCAATTATGTAGAAAACCATTAGACATTAACCATTTGTCTTTTTCTTTTTTGAACTTGACATTAATTAATGAGTATACAACTTATAAGACTAATATAATGTAATAATTTATGTAATTTACATAAAATTTAACAATTTTTATAGTGAAATTATGTGTCTCATCTCTTAATTATAAGAGCCAATTTTCTCCAAAAATGACTTAAATGGTAATTTCATTTTTATGAGAATGAAAACTTTAAGTTGTAGTCACATATATAAAACAAGAGATAGATAAAGAAAAAGAGTAAGATAAGATTGTTTCTCTTCGTACAAACAAAAATAAATAAAGGAAAATATATTAATTAATTAGTGTTCCATTAAAAAAGAATATATGAACAAGGTGTCATGGATAAATGTGGTGTTGTGATTAATTGTATCAATTGATTGTATTAGATGATAAAAAATTAATTGTATTTGGTTTGAGTATAGCCCTCTAGATTTTTTTTTTTTTTCCAATTTGGTTTGAGGAGAAGACATTGGCCACAACTGACTCGGTAGTAATATGCTCCAGGAAAGAAAAATAATTTCCGTACTTTTCAAGTCTTTATACCCATATTCAAACCTTTACTTTAGTGGTCAGTTAACATTGAAGAAAATTAGCAATCCCAACTTCTAAAATTTTTATCTTATTTTAATTTAAAATTATATTATTTAAATAAACAATTTTAACGTTTACCCTAAAACTACATAAAACAATTTTTATTAAAACAACTAATTAATTAAACGAGCAATGCACATTTTTTTGTTTGGCCATTGAGAAAACCACGTACTCTACCCTTTCAAAATTCCATTTTTTCCCCCAAAATTTAATTATATGAAGGTACCTTTGTCTTTTTCAATATTTCTAAGCACTATAAATATAAATTAACCATTCTATATTTACTAGCAGGCTAGCACACATACATATCTAGTCTTTTTAACTAGTTATTTATGATATTATGTATTTATCCTACTTACTGCTTAGCTCTAATTTAGTTGCCTCAAGTATATCCCCACAATGTTCATATATATATATATATATATATATGAAAAAAAGTACCTGTCAGTCTTATTTTTTTAAAATTAAGAGAAAAATCATCTAAAAATTATGTCGTTTCAATAAATTTTTATTTAAAAAAATTAAAATATTTTATTTTTAAAACATATATTAAGATAATTTTTATTTTTTTTTCTCCTTAAATTTTTGAAAATAAGACATATAAGCACTGTATATATATATTTAAAAAAGATCGACCTTGCTTGTCAAGGTAAACAAACCTACTGCCATATTTTTCTTCCCTTTTTGTTTTTCTCTTTTTTTCTTTCCTTTTCATTCTTTTGTTGCGGTCCGCCAATTAATATAACAGAGACCCTCAAATTCTGGCATGGAGAGCAACTCACACTGGCAAAGTTACATATATTTATATAGTGCCTTGTTTCTTTACAGCTAGAATTACCACACAAATATTCTAAGCATACGTGCAATTACATCGAAGCATTAATTTCCATTGACTCTCTGCTTTTAGAGACCCAAACTCAAAGCTGTCTTAACATCCAGCCTCCATGCAAACCCGCCGCAGTCCATTCTCCACACATCGCAGGGAACCATCTTCGAGTAATGCCTTTCTTTGTGACACGAATACTGAAGTCTCACCTGGCATGAAAATGCGTGGTTCACGTACAGAGAGTGCCCACCTTCCTTCGTCATCGCCAGCCACACCACCGTCTCCGGTGGCTGTTCTCTGCCGTCTTCTTCTGTACTCCCTGTTACCATATTTTTATAAGCTCCGTTTACCCACACCACCTCGTTTAAACCGTCAGATATGAACCCTGGACACGTGTCTCTCTCCAAATTCTTCATTTTCTCCACGTCCGTACGCCCTAACGTTTCATCATCCATGCACGTGCCCGTCACGCTAACCACCGTCACCCACGACTCCACCACCCTTCTGTTAGGCATCACCACCGCCTGATCTGTAAACCTAGACACCGCCATCCCATCATCAGCGGCTGGTATCTTCATCTTCAAGCTCAAGCACGTGGGTGGTTCCTGATTTCCTGGAACACACCTAACACCATCTGTACCATCTAGATCGGCTTTCTCCGGCACCAACTGTAGCGTCATTACTTTGCTGGTCGGACCATCTTCGGTTCCATGATAGGAGATCCCTTTATTTCTCCTATATTCCTTGTTCCTATCATTATTCTTGGAAACCCTAACGTACTTTCTCTTCTTCCTTTTTCCAGTAATAATTGAGTTCCTGTTTCCACCGAGTGAATCACAGGAGATGGAGTCGCCGGTCATCGGTTTCGGCGCAATCGGCCGGAATCTGAGCATTATCCTGTCGATTATCGTCTTGTCATGCATATCCCCGGCACATTTTAGCAACCGCCACTGCCCTCCACCGTTCATACCGCCTCCACACCCTCCAATCTACCTACTCCGCTGCGCTTTCTCTCAATTTTTCCAATCAAGATTCTCCACCGGAGCTGAAGCAATAATCATAACGTCCGTATCGTGGCAAAAGTCCAGAAGCACCACGTGTCTAGGGTAAACACTTGAACAGCGACGGGACGTGATTGGTTGAATTTTTTTTCGAGGTGGGCCCGGAGAAAAAGTTGCCTGTTTTGACGTATTCAGGCCCTCTGATTGGCCCCAGGCTGCTATCCAATCGGAGAAGTCGACGCGTCGAGCATTCCTTAAAAGTAGACTACACGTGGCTGTACCTCGGGGAAGGCATAAATGTTCCGTTGAAGTGGAGGATCTTTTAGAGAGGGTAATTTCGGGAATTCGAGCTATTGTCCAGATTTCCACCACGTGGTTGTTTTCTATTCGCTACGAACAGGTAACACCTAGGTTCATACAGTTGACTACAACAGTACAAGTGTGCTCTTTTATACTTGCCATTGAGGAGCGTGAGGAGCAGATATTGATTTATTATTATTTTTTTTTTCTTTCCTCGGCTTCATTTTAAAATAATTATGCATTCTTTTTCACACCACACTTTTGTTTTAAAATATAAATATTTTATAATTAGTAAATTTTAATTAATATTTATATACTTTTAATTAAAAAATTATTGTAAGATATGAATCATTAAGATTAATTATTTGATATTGAAAGTCTTTTTATATTTAAAAATTTATATTTTGGGTTAAACAATAAACATGAATTTTTTTTTAAATATGAAAGATGATAAAAAGAAAAGTTCAGTGAAACAGTGCACAACAGTTTTAGACCAAATCTTACCATAATTTTTTACTCAATTTAAATCCTGTATTGTTTATTAGTGATATTTTTCATTTATGGATTTTAGATTTGTTTTGGTTAATGGTCGATTCAAGGTTTAATTGATTTTATTTTATTTTTTAAATGGTAGATAATTTTGTTTTACAAATATATTGATTTTCTCCTTAATTTTTCATTTTTTATGGTTTTCTCCTCCTAATAGCAACCAAAACTTGAGAATTTTTTTTTTTTTTTGTCAATCAACCATAAGATAACATGAACTTGCCTTGCCTTGCAAGCTATGCTACCATCTTCCTCCCCCATTCAATCACTTTTCCCTTCGTGTTTGGATGTAGATCCCTCATCAAATCTCTTTCTTTTTCTCTTTTCATGTCTCTCTTTACTTAAAAGAATACTTGTTTGGGTGAAAATTATTGATCGCAGAAAGAGTGGTTTAATCTAAAACTAATTCTTGATATTGTTGTGATTTGCATATGACCAACAATTAAAACATAATAATTTAGTCAGAGTGATAGCAAATCAACGTCAAAATATAATAATTAATCAACTTAAGTTAAAAAAAAAAAAAAGATTATCACTTAAGTAGTTGGCAAGATTGACTTGCAGCTAATTTATAAAAATCTCTCATATAAACAAATAAATAGTAGATATTTTTGTAACAATGAAAATAATTATTATATTTATAATTTAAAATATTTAATTCATTTAATCATAATTAATAATTAATTATGATATAATTGCATAATTAAAATTTTATTTATTAATATTATGGAGTAATTTAAAATTTTTTACCCTTTCTTATATTAAAAATTATACATTTTTATCTTTTATTTTAAAAAATATAAAATATTAATATAAAATAATAAAAATATATAAAAATTAATTAAAAACTACAAAATTTAAATTTTAAATAAAATATCATTTAAAAAAAAAAAACAATTATCAAACAAGCCTAATAAGTGGTTTTGGTGCGATCTACTGGATGTTGATAGGAGGACGCGTGGATGTTGCACGGAGGAGCGGATCTTGGGGAAGATATGAAGTGGGGGTGGGTTCGGCTTTGATGGAATTTTTGGGCCCCTCTCTGTCTCGTCATCTGGGGGCGGTGCTGTCCAATGACAGTCGAGAATTTGCACGTCTGTGGTTGCTAAAAAAAAAATAAAGGGAAAAAAAATCCTTTTTTTTTTTTACCTGAAAAAAATATACTATATACCTAATAATGAAGAATATTCGAATGTTTTCTTTTATTATATTTTTTTAACAAAAACAATTACTTATAATATGAGGTCGCTGTCCTCCAATCCATCATGTGATGGACCGTAAGATCAAGTTATTAAAAAAAAAGAAAGGTGGGTTTAATATAAAACATTCATTTCTTTTCATAGTTTTAATTTTATAGTTCGTTACAGAATGGGTTATAAAATAAAATTTTTATAATATTTATTACATACTTTTAATATAAGTTGGAAGAAGGGAACTCGTGCCGAGCACAATATGTTCCAATGATATTTTTACTTACGAAACAGAGTGTTATTGTTTCCATCAATAACATAGAAAATGTTCCTTTTTATTATGTAGTAGTATTATTGGAGTTAATTGACTTAATTCATACAAAATGGTTTTAACAGTGAATTTCTACAATATTCTAATTATTAAGCCAAAAAATTGAATTATAATTATTTTAGAGTGTGTTTGATTTCGAGAGAAATAAGAAGATAAGATGATGATTTTTTTTT